AGTCCATGTTTTTAAAGCAACTAACCAAAGATTGCTCAAGAACAACACTGTTACTAGAAAATACACCAGGATTTGCCCTCTGTTTACATGTATGCTTGATGTTTTCTAATCCACATGTACTTTTGATGCCTCCCTTTGGAAAAAAAAAAGACCGTATTATTTAATGCATCTTTCCATCTGGGAAATCACTGTTAACATTACAGTAGGAGTGTAAAGAAGCCGGACTTATTGTGATTTGAAGACATTAGTGTTCATTGCTTCATTATTCATACTAGTTTCTTCCATACCAATAAAAGCTGCTAAAATAACCCAAATGGTTACCAATGGCATGTTAGTGTTACGTACAAACTATAGTTACTTTGAATTGTTCTTGACTAACATGTACATTTTGGGATCTGTAAAAGGAAAATATTACAGAACTTCTGATTTGCCTATCGATCAACTGTAGGGAGACATAATGAAGAGGAAAAGCAAAAGAGAGTGTTCAAATTTACTTGTTTGTTTGAACTCTTAATTTCTTAAGCTTTGTGTGAGATGCAGTACAACTGATGTGTTCTCAGAGGATTTTCTTGGCAGGTGGAATTAAACTGTGGGATTCATTATCTCAGAAAATGAGACAGCTAACTTTTCTTGTTTGTAAGTGGAAATGGAAAAAAAAGTTCCATTATTCTGAATTTGACAAATAGTCTATCAATGTATATAACACTACATTTTGATTCTATTTTGGGATTCTACCAGGAATATACCTGTATTCATCTGGTATGTTTTTCCAAAGTTACTGTATGTTTCCTATGAACAGTGAAAGGCGGTTTAAAGATATTGCAGTTAAATAGAAACTAGCTGGGATTTGAGCACATTAGCAGTCGCTAGTTGTGACTCCTAATGTGCTCAGCTGAAGAGCAATGCTCTGCATGACAATAGCATATAGTAAAATAAATTAAAATAGATACGTGGACAAAGTCTCCATACTATATAAAGAATGCAAGTTTTACAGGACAATATTGCACACCAGAAACAGTCCCCACTGGCCTTTGTAAGAACATTTTGGATTTAAAAAAAATACCCTTTACTGATGTTCTTGTCCCCAGTTCATGACCTTGATTTAAGGGATTTAACAGAAAGAGTTGGAAGGGACCTTGGGTCTTCTAGTCCAGCCCCTTCCTCAAACAGGAAACCCTATACCATATTTCAATGAAATGGTTGTCCAATCCCTTCTCGGAAACCTCCAGTGTTGGAGCACCCAGCTGATTTTGTTCACTGATAAGTTAACACACACACACAGTCCATTAGTCTTGAAATCTATGAATCACATTAAGAGAATGAGACAAAGCATCCCTGAAAAGATTTAAAGGGAGATAAAGAATAGGAGGGAAATCCTATATTAGCCCTTCATTTTCTTAAGAAGGTTTCAATACATTGCTTTCCTTTCTCTTTTTTTCCCATGTACGAAAAAGAAGGAACCTTGGAAAAGGTACAAAGAAGTGGAAGTCAAAATTGGACAGGAGAATCAGAATCAGAATAGAGCCGGAAGGGACCTTGGAGGTCATCAAGTCCAGCCCCCTGCTCAAGCAGGAGCTCCTATAACCAATTCAGACAAGTGACTGTCTAGTCTCTTCTTGAAAAACCTCCAGTGATGGAGCACCTACAACTTCGGGTGACAAGCTATTCCACTGGTTAATTAACCGAACAAAAGAGTTGGAAGGGACCTTGGAGGTCTTCTAGCCCAACCCCCTGCTCAAGCAGGAGACAAATAACCATTTCAGATAGATGGCTGACCAGTCTCTTCTTATAAACCTCCAGTGATGAAGCACCCACAACTTCTGGTGGTAAGCCGTTCCACTGGTTCATTGTCCTCCCTGTTAGGCAATTTCTCCTGAATTCCAGGTTGCTTCTCTCCTTGATTAATTTCCATCCATTGCTTCTTTTTCTTGCCTTCTGATGCTTTGGAAAACATCAGCCTCTCCAATATTGGATTACTGCTTTATCATGTCCCCCCAAGTCCTTATTTTCTGTAGACTAGCCAAACCCAAATGCTGAAATGCCATTAGGCTAAGAAGAAGCCCAAGTGACAGATATTTGAGAAGCCCTGGAAAAAGGAGATAGAGATATAAAGATAGAGAGACAGATAAATGAGAGAGAGAGAGAGAGAGAAAGGTGGAGAGATATATAGATAATTATGTATGTATGTATGTATGTATGTATGTATCTCTCTCTCTCTCTCTCTCTGTGTGTGTGTGTATAGATATATAAATGAGAAAGATAGATAGATGAGAGATATAGATAGATGGATGAGAGAGAAAGATAGATATAGATAGATAGGAGCAAGAGAAATAGAGATAGATGAGAGAGAAAGATAGATAGATGAGAGATATAGATAGATGGATGAGAGAAAGATAGATATAGATAGATAACAGCAAGAGACAGAGATAGATGATGGCAGATGAGATTCTGCTGAAACATTGCTACAACTTTAAAAACACAACTATAATGTGGGAAAATACCCGAACAAAGCTGAATGCCATACATATACATACATACATACATATATGTGTGTGTGTGTGTGTGTGTGTGTGTGTATAGATGGATGAGAGAAAGATATAGCTAGATAAGAGCGAGAGAGATAGAGATGAGAGAAAGATAGATGAGAGATATATAGATAGATAACAGCAATATATATGTATGTATGTATGTATGTATGTATGTATGTATGTATGTATGTAGATATAGAGATAGATGAGAGAAAGATAGATGAGATAGATGAATGAGAGAGATAAAGATATATAGATAAGTGCGAGAGTGAGAGAGAGAGAGAGAGACAGACAGACAGACAGAGGTAGATAGATGGGATCTAAAAAGGGAGAGATAGAGATAGATGTGTGTGAGACAGAGAGAGAGAGAAAGCTATGGGATGCTCAGTGGGGCTGGGGGAGGGGGTTGGTGGGGAGGGGGAGAGAAAGGAAAGGGGAGGGGCAGTTGGGGGGACGATTCCAGGGCTTGGGAAAAGGATGGAAGGGAGCCTCTGGGACTGCCCAGCCTGGACTGTCTTCTCGGCGGGCCGTGGGGACTCTCAGAATTCCTGCCCCATTACAGCCAAGGGCAAGGCGGCCTGAGGATCCTGGGGGTTGTAGTCCAAGCGGCCGGGAAGGCGCCCGCTGGAAGGGGGGGGGGGGGGGGGGCCGGCTTCGAGCCGGGGGCTGGAAGGGGGGGGGGGGGGGGGGGGGGGGGGGGGGGGGGGGGGGGGTCAGCTCGGCCGGACGGACGGGCGGCCTAGGCGGGCAGGGGGATCGCCTGGAGGCCCGCCCACCCATTACGCTCCCCCCCCCTCCTCCTTTCCGAACTCACAACTCGCTCTTGCCGGATTTCTCCCAGTTGCGGATCCATTCGGCCGGGAGCGCCGCCGCCACGGAGGTCGCCATCATCGCCGCCGCCATCTTCTTCCCCGTGTGGCGCGGAGAAGAGCCCGGATGCGAGAACGACGACGGGCCCTGCGAGGTCAGAGGGGACGGCGGAGAACGGCCGCGCGAGGCATGCCGGGAAGGCGAGCCCCGCAGCGCGCCGGAAGAGAGAATGAGAGAGAGAGAGAGAGAGAGAGGAAGAGGAGGCGGGGCAAGAGGAAAGCGGCGGCGGCGGCGTTAAACAGCAACCATTACCCCCACCCCCCATCTTGCCTTTCCTATCTCAGAGAGACGAAGCGAGGGAGGAAGTCAGAGAAAAGAAACGCTGGCGGTACGTGAACCACAGAATCAATCCTCCGCCGGAGAAGCTGCTCTCTTCGTTCGCTTCGCTGTCCGCTAAATCCGGCGCCGTGGGAAGCCGTGGTTGGTTGGTTGCACGGATGGACGGAACCGGGTTTAGGCAAGCCATAGAGATTGTGCCGAGTCGAGGGACGGTGCCTTATGGTCGTCGGGATTTTGAAGCCACCCCTCCAGGATTTGGGAGGGGGGTGTTGGTCCGTTGTATCCGTGTGTGTGTGTGGGGGGGGGCTCTCCCTCCCTCAGAAGGACTTTTTGAGTGGTTTGGGCTTTTTTCTAATACCATTTTTTTTCTAACACCATTTTCTAACGCAAATGGCTGGCTGGGGGAATTCTGGGAGTGGAAGGCTGGGGGTTGGACTAGATGACCTCCAAGGTCCCTTCCAACTCTTCGTTAGTCTGTTAAAAAGAAAAAAAAAAGTCCAAGCTTCCTTTGAAAGTTGGTTTGAAAGACACTGTGTGGTGTTTGAAGACATCGCTTTAAAGCGTGCAAACCCAGGTTTGATGTCGGTTCAAAATCCCCGCAAAGCAGAGCAGAAGAAACCACGGTTAAAGGTCTTTTAAGCTTAACTATGGTTTGAGCATGTTGAGTGAATTGACTTTTTGGGGGTGGGACGTTTGCAAAAAAGACATCCGGGACAGGGTCTCTTCCCCCCCCCCCCCCCATTCCAACGAACCCATCCGGACACTCCTTGGCAAAACCTGCCTAGTTGAAGGGCTCCCCTTGGGGCTTGGCAATCCAAACGAGCCGTGTATGGTGCCTATGGCTGGGGTGGGGGGTGGCAGGAATTCCTAACCCACCCACCCCCCAAATTTGGGGCTCCAAGGCGATCTTAGGGCGCCATCTTCCACCAAGCTTGCGGTTCCTTTTTTTTTTTTTTTTTAAACGATTCAGAGGTTCTGCGCATTCTCAAGACAAGTGCTCGACTCGGGTTTCGCTGCGGGGGAGGAAGCAAGACAGGGATTCCCCTTGCACGATCCACTAATTCGCTTGCAGCGGGACTCGGGGAGATCTTCCGCGATCCACCCTTGCCGCGGCGCCTCGCAGCCGGGATGAGAAGCAGGGCTTTTTTTTTTTGCACGTGTGAACGCGCTCCGGGTCAAGCGGGCTCCCGCAATCCGAGTTAAAAGGGGGAGTCGGGGAAGCGAGGCTGCAACTTGGGGAGACCCTTCTCTCCCCACCCCCGTATTGCTGCAGCCGGCCGAGGCCTCCCTCCGTCCGGCGGGGCGCCCGATCCTCCGGCAGCTCCTCCCCGAGGCCGCGGGGAGGCGCTTCTTCCTTCTCGGGGCGGCGGCGGAGAGAAGGAGCCGAGGGTCCAGCAGCCATTTTTTCGGGCCGGCCCGAGAGCGTTGCCGGCGGAGACTCGGGGTGAGTGCGGGCGGAGGGACCCTCGTTCTGCGCCGGGAACACCCCTCCCCATGCTCCCCGGCCGGGATCCTGCGGAGTATGGGCTTTGGAACCCCCGCTTCTCTGCGGGCGGACCACGCTTAGGCGACCTTCGGCACCGGAAACACCCGTCCCCATGCTCCCCGGCCGGGATCCTGCGGGCTGCGGAGAATGGGCTTTGCAATCCCGCTTCTCTATGGGGCGAGGGGGCAAAGCGTCCTTCTACCCCGGGAAAAGCTCCTCCCCAGTCGGGATCCTGCGGAGTATGGGCTTTGGAATCCCGCTTTTCTGCGCGCGAGGGGCGAACAGACTACCTTCTGCATCAGGAACACACACACCCCCATCCTCCCCAGCCGGGATCCTGCGGAGTATGAGCTTTGCAACCCCGCTTCTCTGCAATTCCCGGGGTTTCTTTCGCCCTTCCCAAATGCGGGGTTGCTTGAGGTTTGCCTCGGCCCCTTTCCACACACACACCCCCCTCGCCAGGATCTGGGACTTTCTGCATTGCAAAACCCGCGTGGGCGCGGCGGGTCGTGGGAATGCCTCCCCAGGCAGGCACACGGGTAGGGTGAGGGGTTTACAGAAGGCAAATCCCCGAAAATAGTCCAACGGAAGTCTTTTTCACCTTGCCAAGCCCAGCTAGGTCGAAAGGGAAGGGCGGAAATCTCTTGCTCCTTCTTACTCCCACGCGGGTGGAGTCGTGTTTCGCGTGGAAATGCAACCGCCGCGCGTGTTTCCCGCTTGCGTTCCTGCGGTGGGTTTTGTTCCCGGCACCAATTTCCTTGCCCAGCTTTTTGGGTTAAAATTGAATTGCGCAGAGAGAGAGAGAAGGGGGAATTAGAAAGAAGAAGAAGAAGAAAAGCAAAATAGGCGATTTTTGCAAGCGTAACTCTCGCATGGGAACGCTCGCCCTTTGCTCAACCTTCGAGCTTAATTCAGGGATTTATGGCTCCAGGGATCCCTGCTTGGCAATTGGAAATGTCTTCTAGGCTGAACCCAATGGACTGGCTGAATAAAGTTTTTTCCTGGGATAAAATGAGAATTGAGGTTGGTGGGATCTGCCCACGTTTTTTTCCATCAATCCATGCATCATTTCCTGCTCCTTTTTTTCCTTAGCAATTAGTAGAGGCCAGCATGGCAAGAAGGAAGAAGAAAATGAAACCTTTGCAATTCCCTTTCTGTAACAATAAATAAGCTGAGGTTTTTAAAGGATTTTTTAAAAAAATAGATTTGTCAAAACCTTTGCAATTCCCACCATCAGGTCAGAGCTGAAGAAGCTTCTTGGATGAGAAGCCAAACGTCTTCAAAGAAAAAAACCAGAAAGTCCAGTTTGCCTCTTGAAAAAAGCATCTTTGCAATTCTCTTTCTGTAAAAAATTAATAATAAGGGGAGTTTTTAAAAGGATTTTTTTTTAAAAAAAAAATAGATCGGTCAAGACCTTCGAAATTCCCTTTCTGTAAAAATAAATAAGGGGAGATTCTTAAAGGATTTTAAAAAAATTAGATTTGACCCCTGGTGTGAAAATAAGAGAAGTATGGAAAAAAGGTTTCGAAACAAGATATCCTTTTTTTAGTCACATGTTATGGGAGTTTGCTGTGGAAAATTTCCCAGTCTTTCAAAATGTTTTTTTCATTTTTTGTCAGCTGACAAGAAGGGAAAACAAAACTTTCGATAATCAGCCAGAATGGTCCGTAAATTGGGAAAGCTTCAGCTTTAGTTAGCCATGAAAAGAACTTTTAAACTTTCTGTTAGGCCTACTCACTTGAGGATGGAGAAGGATGCTGTTTTCAAGGTTTTTAAATAAAACAAAAATTTATTTAAAACTTTAAATATAAAAATTACCAAAATTAATTTGTAAAGCCTCCCTGAATCACCTTGTAAGAGAACTGGGTGGTGTAGAACTTTAATAAATAAAATGTTCATTTTTTCACATTTTGAAACCACCTGGGCGCTTGTACCATAAAATGTTAAAATATAAAAACAGGTTACGAAATGGAGGAGGAGGCAAGAATTCATTCAACTCTGTTAAAATTAGCTAAAAGTTGAAGGGGGGACTTTCAGGGTGCTACCAACCCTCTGGATCAGGGGTCCCCAACCGCCGGTCCGCGGACCGGTACCGGTCCGCGGAACAAGCCTTACCGGGCCGCTGGTTGCTGGGCGCCGCCATCTTTTTTTGGTAAAAAAGTGCTTCCGGTGAGCTTTTCCGGGTAGAAAGCTCACCGGAAGCGCTTTTTCGTCAAAAAAGATGGCGCCACCACTTCCGGTGAGCTTTTCCGGGTAGAAAGCCATTTCTACCCGAAAAAGCCCAGTTGACGCCGGTACCAGGCCGCGGCGCCCAGCTGATGCCGGAACCGGGCCGCGGCGTCGAAAAGGTTGGGGATCCCTGCTCTGGATGATGGTCCTTTGGTTGCACAGCCATGTTTGAACATCCAACATAAGTGTTGATGCCATTTTGTGATTTTGTTTTCCAATGATGTCCTAACATTGAACCTTATCTTTGCAGCATCTCTTTCTTTCTAACCTCACGTGTGTGGTTTTTTAAAATTTATTTATTTTAGGAAATCTGGAGGAAACTCCTTCCCCGAGAGGGATATGACGTGTAATGGCCCCGTTTTGGAGGATCCGTCCCCCGACCTGGCTGAGTTGGCTTCCAGACAAGAAACCTTTGCCAATTTTCCAACTCGCTGCCCCGTTTCTTCCTCGGACCTAGCCCAGGCCGGATTCTTCTACACGGGAGAAGGGGATCAAGTCCGGTGCTTCCGCTGCCTAGCGACCCTGGAAGGATGGGAAGAGGGAGATTCGGTGGTTGTTAAACACAAAAACGTCTCTCCGAACTGCCCCTTTATCAACGAGGCCAACTTCGAAGAGGGTCGTCTACTTTCCGGGATCCCGAATGGTCCCCCCGGAAGAGAAGCCGCCACCTCCGTCCCACCCAATCCTGAGCTCTCTTCCGATTTCGAGGCCGATTACTTGGTGAGAACCGGGCAAGTGGTGGATATCTCGGGCTCCCCATATCCCCAAAACCCAGCCATGTGCAACGAAGAGGTCCGGCGGAGATCTTTCCACCATTGGCCTTCCTACGCGCCCGTCAGCCCGGAAGACCTGGCCAATGCGGGGCTCTATTACCGAGGCATGGCGGATGAAGTGGAGTGTTTTTGTTGTGGGGGAAAGTTGAAAAACTGGGAGCTGGGGGACCAGGCATGGTCGGAGCACCGCCGGCATTTCCCGAGATGCTTTTTCGTCCTTGGGCATGATGTTGGGAATGTTGGGAACATTGCCCATCCGCCAGGGGATGGACAGTTGGACCGAAGCAGTACCACCCACTGGGGGTCTCCTCTTCCTCCTCCTCCTCCTCATAACCCCTCCATGGCGGATTTCGCAAAGCGCCTCCAGACCTTTGGGGCGTGGAATTACTCGGTGAGCAAGGAGAGGCTTGCTCAAGCTGGCTTTTACAGTCTAGGTAAGCAGAGGGGCCAGATTTTACGGTGGGTTTCCCTTGGTTTGGGTTCACTCAATCTCACAGCCCCCCCCCCCCCCAAATCCAAAGTACTGCCGTAGAGATTGTCCTCAGCTGGAGCCCAGGAATGTCTGCTGCTAAAGCAAGATGGTTGCTAAGTGAGCTTTGCTCCCATTATATGCCCTTTCTTGCCATTGTTGTTAAAGTGAATCGCTGCAGTTGTGAATGTCAGGATTCTGGCAGTCACCCCCATTTAAATCATGAGTCTCGAGCAAAACTTGAAGAAGATTTATTAGGAGTAAACATGCCAGCACTGCCTGGGTGTAGCAGACTCTGAGACACATCATTCATTGTCACCCTTGACCCTGGTTTTCCCCCCACCCACTGGGTGTATCATAATTCATATTCTCCAATGGGACATCTCCATAGCCAAGAGTCATCAATCATGTCCTCCAGTTAGAATTTTGCACGGCAGAAACTTCCGTCACCTACTCACTATCTTTGAAAAACTATGGAACGCCCTTCCAATTTCCAAGCTGCCGCACTGCTCTTTTAAACCCCTTTCCCCCCACTTCCCTTTCTGTTGGCAACTCTAAAAAGACCATAGAAATATTTTATGAGTTGACAGTGAAGTTGGTAGCACGGTTGTTGAGTGAATCTGGATTCCTCACTCACGTCGAGGGTGGCTAACCTTTTTGGACTCTTGTGCCAAAAGTGGCGCTCGCGCTTGCTTGCTCACATGCCAGCACCCAGAAGGAAATGCGCGCGGCCCCCCCACGCCCCCTGTGCATGCATGCGTGATCCGCCACCTCCTTACCTACACTGCAGATGTGCGCATCCCAGCTGATTTTTTTGGCCCGTTTGAGGCCTTTTTTGCCCTCTCAGCGGCTCGAGGGAAGCCTCTGCGGCCTTTGGAGGCCGAAAAACAGGCCCGTTTCATCACTTCTGATATTTACGGAAATACAGGAAGTGACAAACGGGCCTGTTTTTCGACCTCCAAAGGCTGCAGAGGCTTCCCTCGAGCCTCTGGGAGGCCGAAAAAGGCCTCAAACCGGGCGAAAAATCAGCTGGGAGGCACGCGCATGCACAGTGAGGTAAGTTTGCCTGGGGCTCGCATGCCCACACAAACAGCTCTGCGTGCCATCTGTGGCACACGTGCCATAGGTTTGCCATCAGGGTTATAGAACAACCATACGAGCTCCATCTCATGTTCTGCAAACAAGGATCTGTGGCTCATTGCTTCTCAACAAACCAGGATTGAAAGCTGGCAACTTAACCGCAGCTTCTGGGCTTGTTAAGCAGGATAAATCCGGAAGCGTGGCTTGGAAAGTCGATGCAAGTAAACCGTACAAAATTTTGCCGTTCCCCACAGACTTAAGACACAGCAATTTTTGGAATTGTTTTCCAGCATGTGGCTATGATCTCTCGTGGTTCAGCGTTACGGGTTCTTGATTTGTTTTAACAATAAGCTGCTGTTGATCGTTTCAGCAAATGTTCAGCTGTATTTTTGGACTGTGAATTGCAAGAGAATATTGTACACGGAGTGCTTGGGATAATTCATTGGAACAGGAGTCTTAAATGGTAGTGCAATTTCTTCTTTTTTTCTTTAGTGCATTAATAGGTTTACACGTTTCACATCTGTGCAAGACGTCTTGCATCTGAGCTGATCTTTGTTAATCTCATTTGATTTGGAACCTGCAGGGAACTAAAAATAGGACTTGTTAGAAGATTAATCAGACAATTCAGACACTTTCTGTCATGCTCCTCTTGGAATCTGATTCCGAGGGGGAGGTTGAGCAGCTGACAGGGAATGTGAGTGTGGCTCTAGTGGCTGTGGAAGAAACTGGGGAAGGGCACAATCCGGCTGGGCATTCAGAGGAAGACCCAGGCCCAACCCCTCTTCATCCTAGGGCACGTAGGGAGGAACAGAGAAGGGAGCAATGTGAGTTCCATGGCTTACAGGGGAGGAAAGGGCCCTGATCCCCTTCATTAGCTGCAGCTGGGAAAACAGGATTTAAAAAGGGCGTTTGCACACAGTACCTTGCTGGAAGCAAAGCGTGAATTATCTTAGTTTTTCAAGTCTTATCTGGGTTCTGGCGTCCTCCCAACTATATGTGTTTCATTGTCTTTTGAAGTCTACAATTCCTTATCCTGCCCTGTCTCGTTAATTGCTGCAGGATAGTTTGTGTTGGTTTTTATTTATATAGTAATTTAGATGTACTTTGGGTTCGGACTGAATTTCTTCTCTTTAAAGACTGTTCTTGGGAGAGTTTTTTTCTCCAGCCGATGATAACTGGACACTGGGGGCCTAGTTGGAGGCATTAAAGGGACGTTACCTACTTTTATGACTTGGTTGCTTTTGTGCCACGCCCTGAGTCATCACACATTTCAGCACTGATTCAGATTTAGTATTCATAAGGAATGGGCAGGTAATCCTTGACTTAGGACCACCGTTGAGCCCTACATTTCTGCTGCTAGGTGGACCATTTGTTAAATTTTGTTTTCCCCATTTTACAATCTTTCTTCCCACGGTGGTTAAGCGAATCCTTGCAGTGGAGAAGTTAGGAACACGGTTTGTGTAGTGAATCTGGTTTCTCCATTGACCGTGCTTGTCGGAAGATCGCAAAAAAGGGAATCATGTGTCCCTGGGACATAGCGATTGTCGTAAAGATGAGTCGGTTGCCAAGCATCTGAATTTTGATCACGTGGCCATGGGGATGCTGCAGTGGCCTTAAGTGTGAAAAATGGCCATAAGTCCCTTTTTACACTGCCATTGTAGCAATAGTGGTAGCACTTCGACTTACATACTGCTTTACGGTGCTTTACGGCCCTCTCCAAACGGTTTACAGAGTCAGCCGGTGGGCCCCAACAATCATTTTACCCACCTCGGAAGGATGGAAGGCTGAGTCAACCTTGAGTTAGTCAGGATTGAACTCCTGACAGTGGGCAGAGAGAGCCTGCAATACTCCATTCTAACCGCTGGGAGGGAGGGAGGGAGGAGGGAAAGAAGGAAAGAAGAATGGAGGAAGGAAAGAAAAAGGGGATGGAGGGAGGGAAGGAAGGAAGGAAGAAAAGAGGGAAGGAAGGAAGGAAGGGCATTTAGCAATAGCAGTAGCACTTAAACTTATATACTGCTTCACACTGCATTACAGCCCTCTCTAAGAGTCAGTGTATTCCCCCCCCCAAAATTGTGTCCTCATTTTACCGACCTCAGAAGGACGGAAGGCTGAGTCAGCCTTGAGCCGGTCAGGATCGAACTCCTGACAGTGGACAGAGTTAGCAATAGCACTTAGACTTATATACCGCTTCACAGTGCTTGACAGCCCTCTCTAAGCGGTTGACAGAATCAGCCTCTTGCTCCCAACAATCCGGGTTCTCATTTTACCTACCTCAGAAGGACAGAAGGCTGAGTCAGTCTGGAGCCTGGTGAGATTTGAACTGCCAAATTGTAGGCAGCCAACAGAAGTTGCCTGCAGTACTGCGTTCTAACCACTGTGCCACCGCAGTTTAGTACGTCTAAGTAGCACTTAGATTTACTGTATACACCACCCCATACAGTATTCTCCGGGTTTATAACCTCAGCACATTGGCCCAACAATCCAGGTCCTCATTTTATGGATCTCAGAAGGATAGAAAGCTTGTGCCCATCAGGATCGAACTCCTAGCTGTGGGCAGAGTTAGCCTGCAATACCACACTCTAACCACTGTGCTACCAAATAAATATATACACATACATAAGGATAGGTAATGAACTGTTGCACGTTGAGGACGACCTGTGTTTGCAGACAAAAGAGTTTTATGTTCATGAATGAGGTGCCTTTTCCAGGTGTGGCTGACGGCGTCGAATGCTTCTGTTGCGGTGGGGGACTGAAGGAATGGAAGGCGGGTGAAGATCCGTGGGAGGAACACGCGAGATGGTATCCTGGGTAGGAATATTTCACTCTTTTCATCTTGGGGTGCGGGGTGCTTTGCAATATTTATTTTTTTACCAGATCTTTAGCTCAGGGATATCCAAAACCAGATGTGTCAGAAACAGAAAAGCTTTGGACTCTAGAAAGAGTGCAGAGAAGAGCAACAAAGTTGATTAGGGGGCTGGAGGCTAAAAGATATAAAAAACGGTGGCTGGAATTTGGGTATGTTTAGTCTAGTCTAGTGCAGAGGTCTTCAGACTTGACGCGCTTTAAGACTTGTGGACTTCAACTCCCAGAATTCCACCTCCAGTCACGTTAGCTCAGGAATTCTAGGAGTTTGAAGTACACAAGTCTTAAACTTGCTAAGTTTAAAGACCCTTGCTCTATATCTATCTATCTATCTATCTATCTATCTATCTATCATCTATCTATCTATCTATCTATCTATCTATCTATCCTATTTCTTTCTATGTATTCTACCTCTCTTTATTCTATCTATCCTCTCTCTATTCTACCTCTCTTTTATCTATTCCAGGGGTCTTCAAACTTGACATTACTGGAGGCTTTTAATGGACAGCCATTGGTCTAATGTTATAGGGTTTCTGCTTGAGGAAGGGGTTGGACTAGAAGATCTTCAAGGCCCTTTTCAACTCTGTTATTCTGGACAACTCTAGCAGGTGTGATGGAACCCCAGGAGCGAGTGAGTGGTAGAAAAGGGGAGGCTGCTCTAAGCAGCCAATTGTTTATATTAAATGCTGCTCATAGGGTCAGAAGGGACCTCGGAGGTCTTCTAGTCCAACCCCCAGGAGTCTTTATACCTTATGCTCTTAAGGATGCTTGTGGGGGAAAGCTTTCTCAACAGCAAGAAGATGGCTCAGGCCACCTCATCGGACTTCTTCTGAATCCAGTTGTGAAGGTACGTGCAACCGATCCAAACCTGCTTTAGGGCGCGGTGGGCTGGGTGAGTTCAGATCAGGGCGGTTTGTTCCGCAGAGGACGCTTAAACTTACTGTAATGTGTGAATTAGATGACTGCTTTGTCCTTCAGCTTGGCTTATTTTGCTCCCACCTTTTGTACCTAGGTGCAAATACCTGGGAGAAGAAAAGGGACAAGCTTTTGTGAACGGCGTTCATTTAAAGCCTTTGCCACAGGAATCAACTGTAAGTCTGCCTTTTCTTGTTTAGAGTGTCTGTCTTGTTGGAAAGAGACTTCCTTCCTTCCTTCCTTCCTTCCTTCCTTCCTTCCTTCCTTCCTTCCTTCCTTCCTTCCTTCCTTCCTTCCTTCCTTTTTCTTTTTTCTTTCTCCTTCACTTTTTCTCTTTTTCTTTCTCTTCTCTTTCTCTCTTCCTCCTCCCTCCCTGTCTTTTTCTTTCTTTCTTTCTTTCTGTCTGTCTGTCTGTCTGTCTCTTTCTTTTTTTCTCTCGCTTCCTCCCTCCCTCCTTTCCTCTCTCTCTCTTTTCTCTTTTTCTGTTTTTTATTTTTCTCTTTGTCTCCATCGTTCTTTCTTTCTTTCTCTTTTTCCTCTCTCTCACTCTCACTCTCACTTTTTCCTTGTCACTTTTCCCTCTCTCTCTCTCTCTTCTTTTCTCTTTGCTTCCGCCATGTGCCTAAGCCAACTCTGCAGGGACTCTTGTTTTCGGATGAATGTGGATTTTAAATCATGCATGCATCGAGCCAATTAAATTAGTAGAAGGGCTTGAGTTACTATCCCGCGGTCTCTCCAGCTGTCTTCCCGTGAGCAGATGGCATTCCCATCCTCAGCTGAAAAGGTTAATTGCTGCCACGGAAAAGGCCACTTTTAACTGATTTGATTCCTGTTTCCTTGTTGACGGCGGCGAGTGGACTAAGCGATTAGCTCACAGAAATGAATTGACAAGTACAAACTGTGATATTTGTCGCTTGAGGATGTCAGGAGCTGTGGATGTGTGTGTGTATCTATCTGTTTAGATGACAGAGGTGGAGGAAGAGAAGAGAATGCACTAGTCCTGTTTGAAGGACTGGGAGATTTATAGGTCAGCTATAAATATTCCCCTTAAGTTTAGGAGTCTGCTGGCAAAAAGGGGCACGATAGCTCAGCCGTTAAAGACGCTGAGCTTGTCAGCTGGAGAGCTGACAGCCCAGGTTTGAGACCCTGGCACCACACAATGGGGTGAGCTCCTGTTACTTGCTCCAGCTCCTGGCCATCTACCATGTTGTCCCCAAAAATAAGACCAGGGCTTATATTAATTTATGCATTAGATCTTATTTTCCAGTTAGGTCTTATTTGGGGGAAAATACAGTACTAAATGCATCTGTCTGGCTGACAATCTTAACTGGGGTTTATTTTGGGGGTAGGGCTTACATTGGGAACATCCTGGGGGGGGGGGGGGAAATGCTGGGGTTTTTTTTCCAGTTGGGTCTTTTTTTTTCCCCATGGAAACACAGTAGCAGTTCGAAAGCAGGCTAATGCAAGTAGATAAATAGGCACCACTTCAGTGGAAAGGTAACCGGGTTCTGTGTGCCTTTGGCGTACAGCCCTGCCGGCCACATGACCATGGAAGTTGTGGCTCTTGAGGCTAAGAAATGGAGATGAGCACCACACCCTAGAATCGGATACGAGTGGACAGGGCATCCTTTATCTTTTCTGCTTGCAAAGGGGCTCCTGATGTTTGATTGGCAGGGATTTTTAGAGGAAAAAAACACAACTCTGCTCTGGAATATTGTTGTCGGTTCACTTCCCACCATTTGCTCTTCGCTCTTTCCCTGTTTGAATTTTATTTCTGCAACCACCTAGAGAAATACCTCTGGGTTGTTTCTCTTTGGGAGGTGAGACCACCTGGCCATGTGCTATAAGATTACCTACCAGTTGGCTCAGTCCCTTCCTCAAACAACATCTTCCCTCCTAATGGAATCTTATTATGTAAACTAGTCGTTCTCAACCTGAGCAACTTTTAAGATGTGTGGAATTCAAGACTCAGAATGCGTTGCTTGTAAAAGTTGCTAAGTCAGTGTAAACAAACTAGAACGGACTAGAAACCTCTGATTGTGACACCCTTTATCAGTTTTTTCCCCACAAGCATTGAATGAGCCAGCAGAAATTTCATTCCAATCCAGTGCAACATTCTAAAAACTATTTATTTATTTCTTTATAGGCAGAACAGCCTGAGAAAGTTTTAACTATTGAAGGTAGGTCTTTCCTGAACGACGCCAGTGATCAGTTCTAATAACGTGCTGTTATGAGTCAGTTGCTTAATTTGCATTTTTTTAAAAAATAATTGTGTTTACAAAATAATTGTGCTTTGAAAAGGGGGAAAAAAAACCCCACACACCTGTTGGTTTCGTTTGGCAAAACTTGCAGGCTAATATTAGTGTAAATTAGGACAGTGGTATATAAGCATTGACCTGATCTTAGGATAAACATTAAATTTGCAGCCATGAAAATTAACTGTTAAGTAAAATCCTGAACCTAGAATATATATATTATTTGGAAGGAAACAAGAGTTCTTTTTGGATCTTACTTTAATTCAGTAATAGGGAGTCATTGCCAGAAATAATAGGAAGCAATTTTATATCTTCAAGAATGCAGTGCTTGGGCATCCAAGTATAGAAATGAATATTTATATACCGGACTATCCCGTCACTATCCATTAATTAAATGCATAATAGGGGTTGGGGGTTATTATATTATGTTCATTTTATAATTATTTTTATTTCTTTTGTGTTTTTATTTCCTGTAAGCTGCTTCGAGTTGCTGTGAGCAAGTTAAGCGGCAGTATAAATTTTCCAAATTAAACTAATAAAATCTTAAACAGAAATAAGATGTAGATTCTATTCTATTCTATTCCTTATTCCATTTTCTATTCTATTCTATTCCTTATTCCATCCTCTATTCTATTCTATTCTATTCCTTATTCCATTTTCTATTCTATTCTATTCTATTCTATTCTATTCTATTCTATTCTATTCTATTCTATTCCTTATTCCTTATTCCTTATTCCATTTTCTATTCTATTCCTTATTCCATCCTCTATTCTATTCTATTCTATTCTATTCTATTCCACCCTCAATTCCACCCTCGATTCTATTCTATTCCTTATTCCATCCTCTGTTCTATTCTAGTCCTTATTCTTTATTCCTTATTCTATCCCCTATTCTATTCCTTATTCCATATTTTATTCTATTCTATATTCTACACTACTCTACTCTACTCATTTCCCTTATCGTTTCATCTACAAACCATTGACATAAATACAGGTACTCTTTGGCTTATGACCACAATTAAGCCAAATTAAGCTGGCTTCCCCTCCCCCCCTTGACTTTGCTTGTCAGAAGGTCACCAAAGGGAATCGTGTGACCCAGGACACTGCAACCGTCATAAGTACATGCCAATTGCTAAGCATCTGAATTGGGATCGCATCATGTGGAGACTGCGACTGAGTGGTGCAGTGGCCTAGAGGTGGAGCTCTCGCCTCACAATCAGGAGGCTATGAGTTTGATCCTAGGTAGGAGGCAGATATTTTTCTCTCTGGGCACAATGTGAATATATCTGCTGAACAAAACCCCGCTCTGGTGACAGGAAAGTCATCCAGCCAATAAAACACTCTGTTAGCTCCATTCAGTTGCCCAGGCTCCACCCCGGAAGGGATTATGGGGTCATAAGGTGTGAAAAACGGTCCTAGGTCACTTTTTTTTCCCCCAAGTGTGTTACCTCTGAACAGTCACTTATATGAACAACTTTTAAGTTGAGGAAGGCCTGTATTCAGAGTTTAGCGTAACGTGGGAATGTGGCTATCCCATTAAGCTCTGCTTTTCCTTTCCTAGCAGGGTCTTCCTTGCTTTCACGGGATTTTTAGCTCTTGCTTTTTGCAGATGAAGAGCAGCTGCACAGCCAGGCGATCCAGAGCGCGTTGCAAATGGGATTCGGCGCGGAGGAAATCGGCCAAATGGTGGAGAGGAAGGAGCGCCTTTCGGCCGAGCGCTACCAATCGGTTGAGGCACTGGTCACAGACTTAATCGCTGCCCAGAGGGATAATTCACCCAGTGCGCACTTAGAAAACCATCTGCAGAAAGGTGATTGTTGCTGCACAGCCCAGCGCCTGTAGGTAGACAAACCCGAATTGCGCAAGGCGAGGATAGGATTGTGACAAACTCAGTTGGGGAAAGAACCGTTGTCCGTGGAGCGCCGTTCTTTAACGGCTGAGCCCTCGTGCATCCTTTTGGTGGAAAGGTTGGAATAGGGTAGGATAGGATAGAATAGGGAAAGGGAAGGGAAGAGGGAGGGAAGGAAAGGAGAGGAGAGGAGAAGGGAAAAGGGAAAGGAAAGAGGGAGGGAAGAGGAGAAGAGAAGGAAAAAGGGAAGGGAAGGAGAGAGAAG